TTAAATAGATCGTAAACATGGATAAGATCGAAATATTTTTTACATATTTGTCCAGCGTGATTCAGAGAATGGGATTTCCAGCTCGAATCTAATTGGAAGTCCCCTCATGAGATTCTGGAATTCTAACTAGTGGTTCAAGGCATATGATCGGAACGGTGATCGTTGGGAATTGTTTATTAAATCACGCTGCTTCCGGTACGTGTCTGTCTCAGGTCGTCATTAACATGACGTAGGTGGAAACCTCGGAATGTCCAATGGAAAATCTCGAAACGATCGTTCTAGATCCAATGAAAATGATCAAGCTTTTAACATGCCACAAGTTATAGAATATTTTTCAAAGCAACGTAACTTGCTAATCGCAATTTTTTCTGCACAGTTGTTGGTTATGGCGTCATAAATGCGCAATTCAAACGCAGCACTCTTCGACTTATCATTACGTTCGATTTTTAGCTTGGTGTCAATGTTGAATAACAGGATTGCTACAGATACACTTTCGCTTCAAACTCTTGGTTAAAACTCTTAGCATTTATTATGGCGATAAATTGAAAATATAAGTATAATATAACATAATAGAACATAATATAAATATACATATAAAAACAAATGAAATTATTAAATAATAATAAATAAATAAAACTGTTCAATTGCATGCACATTTTACGACACAATATCGACACTTTACAGAGTCTCCGTTGTTCAAAGTATTATTCAATTCTTTCAGTTTTGAAACAAGTACAGCCCCGAAAGTTATGAGCGGAAATGTAAATAAAAATCGCAAACACGAATCGTGAAATTGTTAATCTCGCTTTTAATATCGCTTCTTTCATTTCACGGCGGAAATGTGAATAAAAATCGCATTTATTGTACGCAAGTTATTGAGTTTTTAATAAAAGATTTAATGAAAGATTCTCCAGAAAACAAACTGAAACCGCAATTGTTCTTTCATAGAAATAAATCACTCGGAGGAGCTTCGTACCTCTGTATTTACCTGTTAGGCGTCAATGGATATATGTAATTGCAGATAATAGCACGGATGACAATCATCAAAAAGAATTATTTATCACGGCAAGATAATCTGTCGTTCGTTCCTCGAGATATTATGATGATGAAAATTATTGTTTTCACAGTTCATCTAACAATAGAAATAGTTGTCGCATTAATTTTTCTCATGGGAAAACGAGATATACCATAATCATCAGCATATTTCGTGCAGTTTGAATTACATGAAGTGATAAAGTGGACCAGTCATTCTGAAGGTTTATTTCTCGCCCCTGGATTCAATCATATCAACCGGTTTGTATTTCTGGTTTGCATGATCACGGAAACACGTTTGTCAGAGCGAAAGACAGGGTCTACGTGTTTCTTTTTTATATATATGTATACTTCTTACAATCGCTATTTCTGTTTCTTCCAAGTATCGAGACGATTTCAGAGAGATAAGATGATTGTTTGTTATTTTTAAAAATATCTTTAGAATTTTTCACGTATCTTTATTATACCTTTAAGATTCAAAATGAACGATTAGATCAATTTAAGAATGTATTTGGATTTTAATATGGATGTTAACATTTGGATTTAGATATAATGGTGACTCTCCATAAATATTCGTATTATATTTCACGTTCGCTATAACAAAAAAGGAGATCTATATGTTTCTTATACCTTATAATTTTTTCTAATTATAATTTTTATATTTTATATATAATTTATATATTTTTTATATTTATAATTATGATTTTATTATAATTTTTGTAATTTCTATTTCTGTTTCTTCCAAGTCATCTTCTAATCGAGACGATTTCAAAGATTTAAGATGATCGTTTGTCAATTTTCAAAACCTCGATATATTTTTGAAATTCAAAGTAAATTAAACAAATCCTTCTTTTCTTTGATTTGAAGATGAATTTGGATTTCAACTGGAGATAACTGCGACCAATGTCTTTCTTATCCATAAATATTCGTATTATATCTTCGATAGGTTAGTAATTGTTAAACTTGTCCTTGGAGATACGAGTTTGCAGATTCAAATGGAATCTGTAAAGCTACTTCATCTCTCGTAAAGTTTCAACAATATGCATCGACGTATTGATTTATCAATAGATTTTTATGCATTCATGAAACATTTGGAAAAGTATATAAAATATTTAAAATACAATACTCCTTATAATATTTAATAGGTAATTTAATTTTCTATGTAGATTCTATTTTTCAATTACATTTTCATAAAAATACAAAATCGTACAAATGTACAAGCGGTCGATAAAATTAAAAAAATTACGTATCAGAAACTCACGAAGGATAATGATAAATTGTTTAAATGAGAATGATAAACCTTTATGTGAGTGAATTCGAGTTTTGCAAGCTTGACTCCGACGTTCTTACGCAAAAGAATTTTGATGTCCGATAGCTCTCACCCACATATATCCTTGTCTTTAAAACTAGTGCTTACGTCAATAGCATTTCGGATTCTGAGAAAGAAAGAGAAAGAGGAGCGAGGAAGAAGACCTAGTTTGACGGAAGAAAAGAACAATCTTCCTACATATTGCAGCTCAAAAACAATTTTTAGAAAAGGAATTTGTGATATATAATGTGTCTTATTACTGTTAAATTATTTTACGATTATACGCAACAGATATATATATTTATTTATTTAAATTATTTGAATAATTAAACTGTTATATGTATCCATATTTAATACAGTGTATTATATGTACCCACATAATGCATATTATTATACATTTACAAAATATTCTAATAGTATTAAATAAAACATTACCGAAGAACTAACAGAAAATTAAATGGTAATTGTTAAATGTTAAATGACAAATTTATTGAAATGTTTAGTGTTTCAAGGAAATGAAAAACGTCTTGTAAATGTGATGAATATAAAGACGAGAAGAAAATCCAATAATTATTGGTAAAACATGTTCTCTACGACACAGAACGTAATTAAATTTATGAAAGATTTTATTTTTCAAATGGATATGAGAATTAAGAAACTGTCAACAGCAGTGTACGTATTATATTAAAATTTCGTCGCAATTGCAAATTAATTCAATTGAAGAGTTTTTAAATAATTTGTTGCTGATACTGCGCGAGCAGATACTGTCCTTGACCGAATATCGAGAGCCATTGGGCCATGATCATAAGATCACCTCGCGATTATTCGCGCGTTCGACAAACAACAGAAAATGGGAATTTCAAATCGGTGGGAATCCGTTTCTACATATCACAGTGGATTTTCCTCCGTGATTTTACAACGTTCCAATCTTTATTTTAACATCGGCTACTATAAATCTTTTCATCTAATATTTGCACAAAGAAACATTTATCGTCGTGAGAAGAAGATGTCATATTATTTTCAAATATTTTCTCATCGTCTCCTACAAAGAGATACCGCTATCAGAATTTTCCTGTATGCTAATGCTGTTACGTCAGCCATTATTTACATATAAAATTCCAATTATCGGCTATCGATAGACGTAGGAAGACACAAACAAGTTTCGCCGAACGTCACGAGATTTTATCGATCACTTCGACGAACTTTCCATGTCTTCGATCGATCAATTCTCGAGAGATATCAACGCACTTCTTCACAGCAATTCCGAAAATCAAAATTTCGACGGTAGCAACTGTCGAACAGATGTTATATGTGTTGTACTCGTTAATGACATACTTAAATACCGGATCTTTACGATTTTTTTCTAACTCTGCGACAATTTTATTACCTTCTCCCACGCACGACGCGTTACTCATAGTTATTAATTGTTTCGTTAATTCATCGACGAGACTATTGAGATTCCCAACAGTGAATTATTAAACACTGTTTCTTCAGCCAGTGTCTATAATTTTTTTTAATTTTAAATCTATCACCAGTTATATAACGATGATATAATGTCGAAGAATCTTCAATCGTATTCCTTCAGAATATTATGACATTTATGCTGAATTTTTAAAAATAATCAGCAGAAATTATCAAAATTTCATTGGCCAGATAATATTTTGCAAAATGTTTGTAGATTGTCTCTTAAAATTACTACTTTTCAGCTTAAGTTGTCGCATTAAAATTTCCTGACATGCAAAATTATTTTCAAAAAACTAAATTTAAGTACTTGTTTCAGAATATAATATCTCATTCTTCCATCAAATACACTCTTTTTTTCAAAGAAATTACTATCAATTTATGTATTTTCGAGGAATTGCCTCTTACAACATTTATTTTTGATTAGCTAGTCATATTCTGCAAAATATTTGAAGATCGTTGCCTAAAATTATCATTCTTTTTGCCCAATTTTCCGGTATCCAGAATTATTCTCAATAATTAAACACTTATTTCAGGACATAATGCCTCGTCCTTTCATCTTCTATCAAATACTTCTCAAAAAGTTATTATTGCTATACCATTTATAATACTATTGATAAGTTATTCCTTTATCTTTGACTAACTCTAGCCATACATTCTGACTAAGATTATTAATACATTTTCAGTCCGAGCCATTAAAATTTTCCAATGTTTCAAATTATTTTTATATTCGTATATTAAGACGTTCGTTCATTCACCTTTTCGAGAAAATCGTCCGAGGACCACACGTGTTAAAGGCGTCGTGTCTCCCAAATTACCAGGATTTTCCCCGCTTTCTTCGATTGTAGTAAATCTTAGTAAATCGATAAATGCACCAGCGTGAAAAAATGGGAACCGGTTCGACGAAGCGATTAGACCTCGACAGTGTCAGCCGTAGCCAGCCGGCGTAAGTTTTGTCCTCAGCCTACGAAATTATTGTCTGTCAGTGTTTTCCGACGATCGATCGATGGAATATTTGGACGATTTTCGAAAGATCCGCAGGTATCACCGACGACGTTTCGATCGAAAATTTCGATCTTATATCGTTTCGAAATAAGAAAGGAAAGAGAATGGGAAAAAGTAACGGTCAGCAGGGAATAACGATCATTTATTGACCGACGTAAAATCCCCCGGTTCATCGTATATAAGTTGTTGTCTCGTTCAACAGTTTCAGTCGTACTTGACTCTTCGACCACGGCGATTATCAATATAAAGCAGCGGCGACGGTCAGCAAGACAAGGTTTCTGTGGATTTCGTGTATTTTCTTCGCACAGTGCAGAGGAACATGCGATCTCTTAAGTGTTTTGTGCCAGTGTTGGTACTCTTGTACCTGGGAAGCTCGTCAGCAGAACCTGGTGAGTTTTTGTCGAGTATATTTGGACCTCGTGTACTTCCGGTTCTTAAAATGAAGATTAAAGGTGATGAAACAGAATCGGTCCGAGAATTAATTATCCAAAGAGTGTCTTAGAAAATACGCTCTAACGTTCTTGAACGCAATTATTCTCGTCCTTTAAGTGTCTTAATTTTGTAGTCTCTTTTCTTTCTTTCATATTTTCGCAAGGAACTTAATTGTTTATCGTACATTTAGAAAATGAATAAAAGTACACTCTAATTTTCGTTCTCTGAGTGTTACAATTTTATTTGTAATTTTTCTCGGAATGTTTTTCAAGAAAAAGGAAAGAAACTATGTTAGCATCTAATTTAATCCTTTCCTATTGGTTACTTTATTAAAACTTAGGCGTTAATTTTATTTCACAGGCGTGCTCCTAGATTTAATAAAGAATCGCAAACACGGTGTGTTGGATCCATTGGGTCTGTTATCTAAGGAACCACAGAGCTCGAGCAATTCACGTTCGTTCGGGTCCAATCTGCAATTAGGAGGACTCTCGATTTCGAGCAGCATAGCCACCTCCTCAGCAACGGCTCAAGGCAACGGTGTTGCAACTTCCAACGCGAATTCCCAGTCCACCGGGGGAGCCTCTGCGAAGGCTGACGCCAGTGCATCTGCCCAAGGTAGTTTTTAATATAAAAGAATACTATAATAATCGTTTAACAGTATTTTAAAGAACATTTCGCGGAACGAAATATTCTGTGCAGGCAGATATTTTAAATTTGACATCCTTTTATTACAAGCGAATGTCTACGTCGAGCATCTTTCTCGTAGTCGTAGGAATTCTCTTATGTCAGAAGCGAGATTCTTCAACAAGAATCGTTGTTTTGATCGCCCGAGCGTTGTCTCGATCGCGTAAAAAGCGTTGAATTTTCTTTGGGCGTAGGTTACGCCGGTTCTACAGGGCCAGATTATAATTCTAACATCGGTGGCGGCGACTACGGTCCGACGAGCTTCCAAGAATACGATAACGCCGACGACGGTTTTCAGCCGATCACGAACGCGAATCACGGTAGTAATTCTGGCGCGAACGCCGTCGCAGGCGCCGGTGCAAATGCTAATGCGTACATCAACGCAAACTCGAACGCCAACGCGAATTCGAATGCCAATGCCATCTCTAATAGCGGTGCATCACCGACCGGTTATTATTCCCCTCAATACGCTCCGGCCGACATAGTTGCCAATACGAACGCGGATGGTAAAACTGCGTTGAACAATGGCGGAGGTGGCTATTACACCCCTGGAAGTCTTCAGACTAATGCGAACGCAGACGCGAAGGCAAATTCAATCAGCGGATCGAGATCTCCCGGCGACTACTATTCTCCTCCCGGACGAATTCAGATCACTCTCCGCCCGACTGTCGATGCAAATGCGAAATCGAATAATATCGGCGGTGCAAGATCACCGAGCAGTTACTACTCTCCGGGAATCATCCCGAGCAATACAGGTGTACAGGGCAATTTGAAAACGGACAGTGGCGCGGGATTGCCGATTGGCTATTATTCTCCAGGAGGTGTTCAAAGCAACGCGGTCGCCGGCGGTAGTGTCGTTCTCGTTCCTCAAATGCAACCACCTAAACCAGTAATCGGTTCTCCATATCCTTTCGAAGGGCACGATCGTGAGATACAAGTGATCTCTCTGCCTGACATGTCACCTGTACGTCCTTATCCTCCTCCTCCTCCTCCTCCTCCTCCTCCTATGGAGCATCATCACAGACGTCCCCAAATAATCGTCCATCCGAAGCCTCCAGTTCGACAACCCCCGCAGATCCCTCGTCATCCTCCCAACAACGGAGAGGTAATACCAGTGATTGTCGCGGACGAACCACCGCGCGGTAGGCCGAGGTATCCACGACCTGGTCGTGGTCCAGAACCCGACGTCATCGTGATCGTGGTCGAGGAGTCGCCGCAGCATGGTCAAGGTGAGCTCGCTCGAACGAAAGTTGGATGGTGTACAGTTGACTCGCATCTGTTGTACCGTGTACATGTGGTTAAGGAGCACACGGTTTCACGCTGGAGAGGAGTGTCGATCGTGATCACCGTCGATTTAATTGCACTGTTGATTTAATTGTCGCCTGTAGTTTCACTGAGTGTGAAAGTGATCGATAGATCGCGATGTGTAAATGGGCGCGATGACGCATCGATGCACTGACACATCTTGTAAAAGAATATCCCTGCTTGGAAGATCGAGGAGATTGTTGTCCCTGTTTTGTACCTCGAATCCATACTAATGTCCTCGAGACACCCGTAGAGTTTGTATGAATTGTTAATAATCCAGAGGAGATGAGGTTCCGTTTTACTTGTGTCTTACGTTGATTAACATGTAGCGTTAGTATTTGTTGCAGCCTGATATGACAGTAACCTTGGAAAATTAATTACTTTTGGTGAAACTTACGTTCAAGAGAGGCAGCTCCGATGATCTTGACTTTCACAAATGTTGCCAAGAACACTTTCCTGAATAACAACAGGTCGCATGTTTATTCTCTAACAAGTTATTAATTATTAAAAAGAAATCCCAAGAGGAGATTGACTTTGCAATAAGGTTGATATTCGTCGTAATATTTAGTTATTACTAAATGAAATTTTTTTATTAAACTGATAGACATACTACCCCCCTCAACTAGGAATAATTAAAACAAACCTAATTTAATATATCTCCGGGATAATTCAGACTACTTTAATTGTTCTGAATTTAATTGATAAGTTACACGATAAGTTAGGTGAGGTTTGGATTGGTTTAATTGGGGCTAGGGTTGCAGTGGAGATTTTATATTTGAGATTTCATACAAATATTTCATATTACATATATCATTACATAATATTTCAAATATACATATATCAATCTTATAGTAAAATATTTTGTATATAGTTTATATTCTGTAAATATTGTTTGTTGATAATTTCTTAATATAAAACTAACCTCCTGAAAAATTACCTCAGGAGTATGTCTTTGACAATATACATACATACGTGAAGGTCATCGTCATCCCCTAGACGTGAGTTTTACCTTACTTTTAAATGTTGAAGCACAATAGTAACATTTATGTGTCACTTTTGCACGTATTATAAATTGTTTTCACGATTGATTCATGATAAAATCATTTTCGTTTAACTTATCGATATCTTTCTCCAGCAGGTGGGTCTGGAAAGGGTGGCTACTATCAACCAAACGGCTATCAGCCCAACTATCCGACTGGCCAGGCAGGATCCAACGCAAACGCGAATGCTAATGCCATTGCAACTGCAAACGCCAATGCCAACGCCAATGGTGGCCTCAGTGGCGGTTATTCCGGACCTTCAGCTCCTGCTCAAGGATCAGGATACTATCCAGGAAGTGCTCCGACCTCTATCGGAGCAAGCAATCCCTTCTTAAGTGGATCTTCTCAGGGAAACGCCAACGCAGCCGCTAATGCTAATGCGAATGCTAATGCAGGAGCCATTGCCAATGGAAATGCGTATCCAGGAACATCAGGGCCAGCTCATAATGGAAACTATTACCCAGGCAGTTCCCAAGCTCCCATTGGAACGTCCAATCCATTCCTGTCTGGTCACCAAACTCAAGGATCGCCAAATGCAGGCTCCATTGGCAATGCAAACGCTGGTGCGAACGCCGTTGCAAGTGCTGGCGCTAACGCTGGAGCAGTTGGAGGCTCTCAAGGACAAATCGGTGCGAATAATCCCTTCCTCAGCGGTGGAGCCCAAGACGGAGTTTCTCACGGACTTGGACATTTCGTGACACATGTAAACCCGACAAATGGCAATAGCGGAGCGACAACTGGAGTTAAAGACGTTCCTGCAACATATCCTAGTCAGGGTAGCGGGCTAGGAAATTATGGACCGGTTGCAGGATCAGCGGGTGCTGGATCTGCAGCAAATGCTGGGGCAATTGGAATTGGCGGAGGATACAATCTACCGATTGACAAAACTCCTGTAATCGGTACTCCCTCAAAGGGTGCCCCAATCTACGGACCTTCTGGACCAACTTATGGTCCTGGTGTCAGTGGAGTAAGCAAAGCTGGTGCTGGAGCTAATGCCGGCGCTAGTGCTAATGCTGGCGCTAGTGCTGGAAGTGTTGGAGGAGCTGGTGCTACTGGAAGTGGCATTGGAGGTACTGGACCTGCTCTTACTGGATACGGCAGTGGACAAGGTGGAGCTGGTGTTGGTGCTGGAAGCACTGGCGGTAACTACGGTGTTCCAATAAAAGGTGTTCCCATTTATGGAACCCCTGGACCAGCTTACGGTCCTGGAGCTAGTGGAATAAACAAAGCTAGTGCTGGAGCTAACGCTGGTGCTGGAGCTAACGCTGGTGCTGGAGCTAACGCCGGCGCTGGCGCTGGAAACACTGGATTTGGTTCTGGAAGTGCTGGAAGTGGCATCGGAGGTACTGGACCTGCTCTCACTGGATACGGTAGTGGACAAGGTGGAGCTGGTGCTGGTGCTGGTGCTGGTGCTGGAAGCTCTGGCAGTAACTACGGTGTACCAACAAAGGGTGCTCCCATTTATGGAACTTACAGTCCTGGAGCCAGTGGAGTAAGCAAAACTGGCGCTGGTACCAATGCTGGAGGTGTTGGTTTCGGAGGTTCTGGACCAGCTCTTACTGGATACGGTGGTGGACAAGGTGGTGCTTCCGCTGGAGCTAATGCCAAAGCTACCGCATCAGCCAACGCAGGAGGCACTGGTGGTTATGGACCAGCTTTTGGCAACGGTGCTACCGGAAACTCTGGAGGAAACGTTGGAGCTACTGGAACTGGAAATATTTATGGCGGTCCAAGCAACGTTGCTCCTATCTACGGAACGTCTGGACCAACTGGAGCAGGTTCGACAAGCAAATCTGATGCTTCGGCAAACGCTGGAAGTAGTGGATCGGCTGGAATCGGTGGATCTGGTGGCTTTGGAACTGGAGCTAGTGGATATGGAGGATCTGGATCTGGTGGATTTGGAGGATCTGGATCCGGTGGATTTGGAGGATCTGGATCAGGTGGATTTGGAGGATCTGGATCCGGTGGATTTGGAGGATCTGGATCTGGTGGATTTGGAGGATCTGGATCTGGTGGATTTGGAGGATCTGGATCCGGTGGATTTGGAGGATCCGGATCTGGTGGATTTGGGGGAGCTTCCGCTGGTGCCAATGCAAAAGCTGAAGCTTCCGCTACTGCTGGATCAGGAGCTGGATCCGGAGGTACATACATTTAGTTATATATTTTTTACATTCTCGCTTTATTAGATTCGAATTGCAATAGATGCTTGTACTTATTTTCATACTTAACACTAGATTTACAGACATTTCTAGTTTTACAAACATTCATCGACCTATAAAATACACATTTTCTTTTAAAAAAAATTGATTCATTCAACTTAAAAAGATCCTAATTATACAATACGTATTTATTTATTTAATGGGATAAGGATAAAAATATCATGTCACATTTGCTTTACACATTTCGTGTTTCATTCGTGATTGAGAGTCATTAGAAGGATGAAGATTAAAGTTTTCAACAATCTTGTTAGCTACATTAGAAATCCTTATATATTAACAAACACTATATTCATTCAGCAGGCACGTTCAATTTTATGCATTCAACTTTACCAGGAAATAATCTAGTGTTAATTGACATCTTCAATAATAACTTTTAACAAGGAAACAATTGCAATTCAGAAATAATCGTTGTTCCATCCTAGAGAATGATAAGCTTCCAAACTTCTTTAACCACGCATTCATAGCTTTACATGCCTAACTTGTTTATTATTTGCTATTGCTTTCATAGGCACGTCCGCCAGTGCCGAAACGACAGCATCGATTATGGTCAAGGCAGTTGAATCAGGCTTGGTCCTAATTAAATGATTACGTCTCCCTTCCTCAGGCTCCAGCGCTGTTTCGAACGCCAAGTCCAACTCGTACACCAATGGAGGCTTTGCTAGTAGCAGCTCGTCCGCTAAATCGTCCGCCTCCGGAAGCGGAAGAGCCAGCGCGAATGCACAAGCGTCTAGCCAAGCATCGGGATCCGGTGACAGTTCTGCTTCCAGCAACGCCGCCGCCAACATAGACACGAGAAGCATGCTCGTCTTCAATTAATCGTCCGATTCCACTTATTCGAACCATTTAACCATGGAAAAGACAAAAGAAAAAAAAGAAAAAAAAAGAAAAAAGTCGAACATCATGGATTGTGCCATCACTCTGAAGGTTTTAGAACATTTCTGATGCGCGAGCACGTGACTCGTACACGTGGCACAGCTTGCAAGATCTGAAACACACCAACAAGTCAAGAGTTAATGATACATCGATCAACGATGATCGACTCATCGATCGCCGATGCAAGACGATTAGAATCACGACGAGAATCGTGATATTGTAAGAGAGATTGAATATAAATTGTAATTGTAATTGTGTGTTTCGCGGTTTTGCTCGTTACGCAACGAGTTTTATTGCGCCTCGTTCTTCCTCACAAAACAAACGTGTATACCATCGGAGGTTGTCGAATCGAGCTGTTTTATTTTGTAAAAAAGGCGAATTTATTGTCACTTGTGATATCCTTCTTGCCAATATATGAAGGCGAACGTTCTCCGTTTGAACCGAACTCTTGATGTCTCTCTCGGTTTCTGTTAATGTTAATATCGCGTATTACGCTTGTGTTCATTGACATAATTGTCTCGCCGAACCTTGTAATATCAGTAGGTTTAGAAACTTTTCAGAGTGTCTTCCTCGCTTTTGTTTTAATCTTCTCGCGCAGGTGAATAATACTCTAATCATTACGTCGATGTAAAATTAGCTAGACCCGTTTTAATGTTACTATAAGTATATCCAGAGCAGATAGAACGTTATCTTTTGTGGCATTATACGCATAGTTTAGAAGATGTTTTATTTTAATTGTAAATTATGGTAGCACTGAAGTTCGAGATAACGTTTTATCTGTACTTGAACGACATTGAATTATGTTGCAGCGCTCTAATTATTATCGTTGATAATAAGAGACAATTTTTATATTAGTTCATAAGCAAATGAATGGCATTGTGACCTCCTGTGAACTCCATCGGACAAGAGTATAGTTCATTTATCGATTATTTGAAATGATACATATAACACTGTGTTTCATAGACAAAATACATATAGATCATTGGCAACGAGTAATAACTTCTGTTTATTCTTTTCTTTGCGATCGGCGAATTTTAACGAAACTCGAATTTTTTAGATTTTCTGAATCTGAATACCATGTTACTAAAAATTATGAGTCTAAAGACAACAAATGTAGAAAATCTTTCCTGTATTTCTCTAGTAAAATTTTTAAATATCTTGTCATCTGGATTCGAATATTTAAGTTCAAATTTCAGCTTGAATATGAATTTAAATATAATCGAATTGAATTTGAATTTGAATTTAATCCCTTATGTCCAAAATTAAGTTACCAGTAGTATTTTTATTAAATTTTGTAATAATAGGTGATTTTTAACATACTATAAACAAGGAAGAGGAAAATAAATTTTCTAATAAGTAGCAGATGATCTCCCAGTTACTAGCAGATACTCTGTTCGAATAGTCTAACATTCTAATATTAAGACATTGAAAAAATAGAAATTCATATAGGAGAGGCTGTATTACGTTTAAGATGATAAACTGAGAAAATCTAAAATATAGTACTATGCAAAACAACAAAATATAAACATTCTATCCCGTACCATCTTCTTTTCACTAATGTTCATTTTAAATGTCTTTTTGAGTATCACAAGGTATTGTCACATTTACATGTATAAAGCAGCATTTTCAACTATCGCCAGAATGTTAAGGGTTAAATCTGAATTTGAATACAGCTTCTATTATCTTAAATATCAGAATTTTATGATACGAAATACTTTATATTTAAATTATTATACATAAGCGATTTAAGAAGTGTTAGAAGAACGGATAGAGACGTACAAAAACGCTGAAGCAACAAACTGAGATATATCAGGATATGTCGGTGTACTTGCCTCCTCTTATTGATATCCATGAATACGAATGTTGTAATTTACGTATAATTACCGACAATCGTTTTTGCATCGGGTATCATTTACTTCGCATCTTCACGGAGTTTCCAGCTATTATCATATCTTATAATGATGCGACGTTCCCGTGGTGAGGTTGTAAATTTCAACCTCATATATCATTGGCGAATTGTCCAAGGACAATTGATTCATAAAAATAGACTAATTTCGAAGCAGTAAACTGTAAGAGTGTGGAATTGTTACTCAACCAATGAAGCTAAAGACTTTGAACAATTCTGTCAATTCTTTCAATTTTTCTTTAAACATTTTTTAATTGTTTGATGATTCTACACTTGTGAGATTTGCGCGGCGCGTACAAGCACGTTCAAATTCTGTAACAATATAGAAAAAATTAATTATTTCTAAAATGGTCAGCATCTATTATTATTTTACCTATTAACTATATATTTCATCTATCTGTATATAAGAAAATAATGAGAAAATGATAGTGTTCAATGGCTTTGTGAATTTATATTATTGCTATGGATAGAAATTTTGAGGGAATAGTAGAGAGAAAGAGATGAGACCTCAAATATAAAATTTTTAATTCGGATATTTATTAGTTCCCGAGAGATATTAATAAAAACACTTCCAATGCAATACGTTGAATTCTTCTCAGATAGAATTATTGCTTTATATAATCTTTCCTTTATCATATCTCTCAATAATCATATCTATTACTGGCATTCCAATGAAATCATTAATGCATAAATCTATTAGCATCGATCATATCTAGTTATTTTAATTTCTTTTTAATGACACTCGTGTAACAGCAATCAAAGAGGAGAAAATTTCTTATCTAGTCGCACCTTTGTACGATGTCAAATCATTATGATATCAAGAATTTATGATGTCAGAATTTATGATATCAAGAATTTCATTATCTATGTCATTTATGTCATTTAAAAAGATATTTTATCTTACCTTACATTTAACTAAATCCTTTTTAATTATATTTCTACATCGTTAAAAATTCTTCAGGGAAACTTTTTCTATCGTTAAGAGACAAATTTTTCAGAAATATTAATAAAAAATTCTCTAGAGACATTTCCAATTGAAAGAAAAGCAAGATTAAATAAATAAATCAAAGATTGTATTAGAGAAGTGTTCCCCAAACATTTTACAATCTTCTTTGTATAATATAGGTATAATTAAAAGTGAAAAGTAATGTGAGAGGATTCTTAAGAAACGTGGAGTCTAAAGTCTAACTACTGTTTTCAAAATGTAGTTTCAAATATATTCCTTAAAGGTCGGACGCTAACTGCTCGTCGGATTCTAACGTTGAGCGATACACTTTTCTTTTATTGTCAGGGCGATACACAGTGTTTGTTTCGCGCTGACGGTTGGTGACCTGACAAACACGTTAGATTCCTAATTCAACGTGTTTTCGCTTACAGTAACTACATTATTTATAACGTAGTTTCGACGTATATGTATTTTCTATAAGTAAAACACTTTCAAATACTACCATTTTCAATTTTGAAATTTTTCACTATCAAAAATTAACCACGCCTCGGGAATTATACTAGAGTCTCCTTACGATTGTCTTTTTCAAATCTCACTGTCAATAAGGAAAGATTTCTCAAGGAAATACCGTTCCCATTATTTTATTACTTCCAAACGCTGTACTTGGGTTTTAGGTACGGCTAAAAATTTCGGAAAATTTCAGGAAGGGATGAGTATTGTGTCCAGGTCAGAGGATCCAATTTAGAAGGGTCAAAACCTTCCATCTTTTGGAAACGGACAACTTTTATAAAAAGAAGCTTAGAAATCCTGATGTACTCAGTTCTGCGTTAGAATTTCGAGGATGAAGGTCCTAATATTCCTGTTATTTTTCGCTGCTGCGCGAAGTATACGACAAATGAAATTCAATACAAGTAGGTGTCTTTTATTTATAATTTACTACGACTTTTGTTAGTAACAGTGTTCAACAAATTTTAATAAGTTTAATGCAAGTGAGTGCGTGTATTTAGAACGTGTGTAAGTTTGTGTATATTTTGCGTAATATCTTCTTTCTTTTCTTTGAAACCGAAATATTTAAATATAGATAACATTTAATTATTATATCACTATACATAGTAATTGAAACGAATTTTCAATATTTATTACCTTAATTCTTAAGAATTCGAATACTTTTTAAAATATTAAGTTTCCTCATCATTTAATTTATCGCTTATGAGACGAAAACTGTATATTAATATTAAATTAGTAAAATTTATTGAGAAATTAATTTAATATTAAAAGTAATTAACAATTATATTTAGTATATAGTTATAATAACATTAATATATTATTATAATTAAATTGTATAATTACTATAATTTATATTTAATTATTTACATATTAATTATAAATAAAATTAATTAAATTTTATTGATCTGATGCATATAACTTTTTTCATAATAAATTTTATTGATCTGATGCATATAACTTTTTTCATAATAAGTGATAAATTAAATAATGGTGCAATTTAACTAAAAATAGTCTAATTGCTTCATGTTAAAATATATTTAAATTTAATAAATTTCCAGATAAAGATAAAAGAGCTGAAACGGTGGAGAGTGACAATGAGTGTGAAAAAAAGAAGATTTTACCATTTGCACACCAGGTTAAAAAAAGGCAAGTAAATTTTAACTTGCACCTCTTTTTGAACAATACTTTATTGATTTTAATTTCCTAATGACTTACCATGAATTCTTTCTCAGTGTACGTGTCAATGAATTATGCAAATTTAAATGCCATTAAATTATGTTGCGGTCAAATCCCAAACTTCTAATCATATCAATCATCGTTCACATAAATCCGTAGCTGAATATCGACACACCACAATAGATGGGCATATCAAATTATTATCTGTAAAAACAGCAAATCTTATTTACATAAATTAAATTATGTGTGCGTGTGTGTATGATTGATAATAAAAATCTACTAGAAATTTAATATCTTTAATATAAATTTTCAATTCAAATTTTTATATAATTTGTAATCAGATTAGGAAAATGAAATAATTATATAGATAAGACGAAAATTATATAAAATTGAGAAGTAAAACAAGTTGATGAACTGAAAATTTTAATTCTAACTTTTCAATTTTAACTAGTCTATACTATTATAGATTTGACTTTTATTTCTTTCATATTTACGAAGTAAGTTATATGAATAATGATTTGATGATAATATAACTATTTAAATAGAAAATATATAATGTACACATACACAGCACTGATCAAAATTTTGGTTTCAATTTTAGTACATTTGGATGTTATACTTACTTTAATAGTTACATGTTAATATTATTCGCATATTTTTTGGATCTACTATACGATAATAAATATATTCATTTCTTTATGAATATTTCTTAATATTCTAGATGAAGAAATGATATTTATTTAGAATCATAAATATAATTTGACTTTGAAATATGTTGTCGAAGGTATGATTTAGGTTCTTAATTAATTTTAGTTTAGTTTCTTAATTAATTTAGCTTCTAAGAAAACTAACTCCAATTATCAATGTAATCACTGATTTTGATGATTTTCGGAATATGTTTTCAAGACAACCAATTGTAACACATTCGTGAATTTCCTTATTACAAAAACTAAACAACCAACGTAAGATTAGGTTGAGTTGGAGTTACATTAGATTTCACGCATGAAACATGTATTTAAATATTCGACTGATAATGTACATGTATACATAAACATTCCTATTATTATTATTATTATTATTATTATCTATAATTGTCAATAATTATAATTATTATTATAGATATAGGTAAAATTTTGTACAAAGGCTTTTATTAATAATTTTGGAGAGATACAAGACTGATGTTAATGTACGACTGATTATTTTTAACTCTACTATATTTCGCTATAAACTTTGGATAAATATGTATAATATTTTAACGTAATTTTTATTTTCAATTGTCTCTACTTGTAAACAAAATTTCTATATGTATAATTTTAAGTTATTGTATATTTTATATAAGTTGTGTATAAACTCTATTGTAAGATTAATTTCGATCTTCGATTTCATCTCAATCATACACGGTTAATAAATATTGATGAAAATAATAATTGATATTAATTGACTAAAATTATTTCCGCGCAGAGAAACCTGAATCAAATTAAGTGTGCTTGTTTAATCTTGAAGTTATTGAATAACATTTCTAAAAACTACATTCTAAAAATTCATGTTGATTTTATAAAGCGTCGAACATTTAGTATAGGAACTTGAATGATGCAAATATATTTCTTAGTTTAGTAAATTGAGTAAAGAATTATGACAAAAGATAAAGAACAAACAATACAGAATACATACATACTTATTTTTAGCGCATCCATCAATTTTACATTTAAAAAATGAGCAGGTACATAAATCCTACATTATTTTAATCATAAATTTAATTTAAATAGTAAACACTTTATAAATAAATATCAGTATCTTTAATAAAATAATTTTATCTGACAAAAAAACAGGATTTTCCACAGAGATCTGTAAATTTTTAGACAGTAAGATAATCTCCTTATTACTATGATTTATGACTCGTTCGGTATATTTGTTATTATTCATTATTTTTACGGGAAAATTCGTACTATAGGGTTACAGGATTACACAAATAATATAAAGCAATATAATTATAAGACTTCAGTAATGCCAATATATTGTTTAAATTTAAATTTAGCAGAGAATTTTTAACAACAAATACTAAAGAAACATTCTTCAACGATAATTTTAGAAATACAATAAAAATATCATCTTTCTGATCTTATATCTAGTATCTGAATATTTCTAAATGGTAATTACGTTCATTAAAATAACATCATTAAAATAACATTAACGCATCAAAAATATTTTTTATTCCATCGATTTTCACTATCAGGTCGAGATGTTTACGAGCGAGAGAAATCTCGTACGAGCAAGGCAAATCATTAATTATCTAAGCGACAGATTTAACGTCGAAAATCCCCAAAGAACGCTGAATAAAACATGATCCTAAGAATCATTGACTTACACCATCCACTCTTCCAATAATAATACTTACTTCTTTATATCGTTCTCTCTTTCTCTCGTTTACTTTTTTGTTTTTTTATTCTTCTCTCTTTCCTGCTACGTATTGGTAATTCCCCGAAGCGGTTAGTTTAGGCTAATTAGCATCCCCAGAGGCGGCTAGCACTCTTTTGTAATCCACTTCTGATCGTCCTTGAATCATAAGGCCGTCAACTTGTTTAGGAAGCCAATGACAAGCGTGTCGGTGATCTCCGGGAATTACAGAACTACGAGTGTCATCTTTGAATAACGACGGTGAAGGGATTCACGTATAAAAGCACCGTGCACCAACCATTTTCTACAATTCGATTCTTCTCGCATCAGTCGACTTTTGGTCAGACCTCGCCGAAATGACGACGCGTGTTCTCTTGCTGTTCATGCTGTGCGCGGTGATGTACCAGATGTGTCTCGCGAAACCAGCGAAAGTGCTCCAAAATCCAGAATCTCTGAGTCCTGTAAAACACGAAGAAGTGATATCAATTACTGGTGAGTTATTTATTTTTTCAAAACGAGATATCTACTTTCTTAAATGCAGTCTTTCTTGATCATGAACTTCTGTTTCTCGTATATTGTGAATATCATCAGAATAGAATTTCTGCTGGTAATTAGATGATCATGTGCTACTGGTAGACATTCTATTCCAGCGGTACAACATTCGAAATTAATTAAAATACTCGAAACAACCCGACGTTCTTTGATGATTTAGCTCGTGCGATTTTACTTTGTTATAGACAAGAGAGAACAACGATCACCGCAGTTCGGACTTCTCGGCGGAGATTATGGCGAATCGGACTTAGATGTGGAGCGTACTTTCAAACAGAGGCGTTATCGCAGACCACAAGAGTGTTTAGAGTTCCCTTGCGGTCCAATAGAGTATGTGTTATATTAACGATCACACAGATTAATTTCATTTTTTTCCCTCAGATATATTTACAATTAGACGTACTAATTTTGCACTTGGATTAGCATTAATTGTACAAAATGTTTCTATGATATTATATATATATATATATATATATATATTCTGATATTAAAGACAACGAAGAATTATTTACGTGAAGTCTGTAATTATTGAAAGTTATTAGAAATATTAATTTCTCTGTTTTATTTTAGACCTGTACCACTTGGACCACTTGGACCACTTAGACCACCTGTACCATTTGGACCACCTGTGCCACCTGTATATCCACCACCACCTCTCTATCCAGAGCAGGCTGGTGGGTCTTTCGCCACAGCTTCCGCAGGATCCAACGTAGATGGATTACCAATTGGATTACCAATTGGCGAACAAAGTGAAGCGAATGCACAGAGTGCTAATTTCAACCTCGGACCATTCTCTGCGTCCTTTAGTAATGCTGGCTCCTCTTCGGATAGTGAGATATTTTAAGAGAGGTAATTATTTCTCTCCTGCGTGAAGATTTATTAATGCATTTTCATCAACAATGCGCATTAAGCAGAATTTCAATTATGTTTGTTTTAACTTGAACCTCTGGCCGAGCATCCTTCTCGGAGATTCTTTTAAAGATATCAATATTTGATGTTTACATTGAACATTGAATGTTCAATACTTCAAGACTCAATGCTCAATCATGATTAAATACGTAATATTCAGTACTCGACACTCTACTCAATGTTCTATAATTAATCAAAGCAATAGAAATTATTGTTAGATTGCGAATTTTTATACATTAAAATTGTAAGTTCAGGGCTGCAAAAAAAAGTACATATATAGTTAATATAAAAGTATATAGAAGATATGTTCGAAATTATGGTACAGCAGCTTGATGATTATGCTATGTATAGGCAAAAAATATTTTGCTTGTAGAATCACACAGTCCTTTGTGCCTGTATAAACTATATTAAATATTAAAGTATAGTTCTTCGTTCTTTTTTTTTTTTAAATTCTGTATTCTCAGAAATATGAATTCGTATAAAAGTCCATGATCTGAATGTTGTTAGAATGTATTATATATACACTAGAATCTAATTACAAAACAGTGTACTCAGCTAAGGTACAAAATGCTATCGTTTGCTTCAATTTTAAATGAATATTGAGTTTAATTCTGCTGCACCCGAGAATCACTTGTCTATTGTTATAATCTTTTAAATTAATTAAATTTTAAAATTTATCAATTTGTTTGTTAAGCTGAAAATTTTTTATATCCTTAACACATACGAGTGCATAAATAATTGAACACCAATTGTAATTTCATTAAAAGTTTAACGTTACGAACGTTACGAACGTCTCTACTGTTAATTTTATATTCTGCCAGAATTCAGATTAGATGCCTTGCTTTAACATTCACGCATCATTCAAGTTTCATAATTATCTTTGTTAAACAAAATACTTAATAAAATCTGTACAAACTTTTTCAACGTCTCTAGAAACACATTTCTAATCTTAACGATAGACACATTTAAAGTTACTCTATAGACAGTCTAATAACCTAATTATGATAATACTAACTGTTAATATTAATATTTTATATATATGTTGAGATAAAATTAAAGAGACTCGTTTGAATTGTAATTTAGAAATGTCCAAATACTCATGGTCAACGACAGTGTATGTTGTTGATTCTGAACTCTTCAACATATTCTTTTCTTTTCTTTTTTAACGCTATACTTCTGTGAACTCTTATAGAAATCAATTTTTTCTGAGTTCCTCCCACGTACTAGCGATGATCGTAACACGTGTAACCACCATGCCAGTCGACACGGCTTCCTCCCGTGTCCCATGCTCATAACCAAGAATATTAATTGACTTCACGCGCGCGCGTGTAACCGCAGCACGCGCGATGCAACTCAACGAGCATCATTATCACCAGCCGAGACGAATCAGTTTAACGTGAATCGGTTCTTCCTGTAATTCCTTCAGGCGCAGATGCCTGGGCGTACGCTTCTGTTTACGAGCGTTGAATCCTCGCCGTCGACTAATCGCCCGGTACTCGCTTTTCTCTCCTTCGATCGCGTGCTTAAATGCACCTAATCACGAACCCGAGCCATTTTTATTGCACGGAGTCAATTGATGCGTCCGGGAAGATAAATCGCGGTACTATTTCCGTGATGCAAGAGACATTAGATCGGCGCGATGAATGTTGAGTGTGGTTAGCGAGAAATCGTGATACAATCGAGCAGAAGATAATTTTGGCAGTGAGGACTCGTTTCTTTTTTAATCTTTTGGTAATTATTTGTTCTGGAACGTTTCTCATTGAGTTCATTTATTTTGAAATATATATCGTCAAGATCATTGTTTTGAACACTTACAGTACTGTGCACAAATATTTGTATACTTAATTATTGCGACATAAATTCAACTTGAATCTTTCCAATTTAATTTTGGTATATACGTTTAATAGACATTGTTCAGAAAAAGAATAATTAATATCGAAGACTCTGCACAGTGACTTTAAGTGCAGAGTATTTCTTTTATTATTCAAATTTTAAGACAATTGAGAAAAGCTCTCAATGAAATTGAAAAATGGACTGGATTTTGACAGGTGCCCAATTATTATTAGTGTATGTTATCGTCGTTTGATCTTAGATTTCAAGATTTTTAGAAAAAAATATTTTTGTCACTTTGCATCGTATCTTTAACGTTTGAAATATATTTATGATACAAACTATTGTTACCAGCCATAGACGAAAAAACAATGAAAATTTCGTCTTAGCCGAATTTAACTCAGATTTAAAATCAAAATAATGAATTTGAGAAATATTGAAAATGATTATTATTGAAAATTACTCGGCTTTTTCTCAAGTTGGACATCGATATTGATTTGACATAAATAAGTCCCAGCCAGCGAAAGCAAGTCAGAAATATTGTCATAATCAGTACAATTAATTCGACGAAAGATTGAGAGGTTTCACGTTATAAAAATAATAAAAATATGAAATTGTTTAAAAAAAAAGCGAACTAAAAGAGGAAAGAACGGGGAAAGTTTCGTTGGAGGGCATCCCGAATGATTATAACTTGTTTACGTGCAATGATAAAAAGCCGTGAAACGTACGCGCGACATACGTTTCATTGGTCAGAAGAATCTCAAGGCTCTTCTGTTCCCTTGAGAACCGGCCGTACATTCACGCGTGTCGGGTTAATGAACTTCGCCCATTAGAGATTTACATGATTTCACGAGACAGTTCCCTCCGTCTACGTAAAACGTTCTTGAACATCTGTCGATCGTAGTGAGGGAATATCGATTTCACATCTCTCGAATCACTGTTTCTATACTCCATTGAAAGGATCGCGCGAACATTACAAAGGACTATTACAAAGGATTCACGCAGGATTCTGGTAATACCCGTCCAAACATTTCGTCGAGTCTGTCCGAAACAAAAAAAAAAAAAAGAAGAAAAGGAAAAATGGAGAAACGATTCTTCTGCGTGCAATGTGAAAGAGTTACTTTCTCTCGAAGATTCGTCGACCGTTCACCCTTGGTAAAAAAAAAAAAAAGAAGGAAAAAGAAAAGAGAAAAAAGAGAAAAAGCAAGGGCCAGGTTCGCGATACAACGTTTGAAAGGGACGTACGGGCAAAGAGAAGGCCACGAAGGGCTCCCTCCGAGAAGCGAGACCGAGAGGAAGAGTTCACGAGTCGAAGGTTAACGAACTCGCGCGAATTAAAAGGAGGAAAGGAAGCCTGACGTAATCGCGACGCGTAGTCTTTTCACCTCCCGGTGGTTGTGGCGAGCGCGTGACAAAACAAACGATCTCGAGAAGAACTAAACGAGACGAACTGCGAGAGGGAAACATCTGTTCAGGTTTCGGGGTCCAGCCGGTGAAGATGCAACCAACAATCATTTCGTATCGTACGTGTGTCACTTTTGTCGTGGCTGCCTTCGAGACGTTTCTCTTTCCTTTCTTTCCATTCTCTTCTTCCCTTTCTCCCTCGCGTGCACGGCCGCCGGTTCGACAAAAGCGGGCTTGGCCTACGCGTTGATTATTCAAATGTGTGTGGGACCTGTGCGAGAAAGGAACGTCGTAAAATGCGCGACGCTGGCTGCATTGTCCCATTGAGCCGCAGCTCCTTTTGGTACGTGTGAAAAAGAATGAACAAAGGGAAAATGAATCTTCGTGGTTCTCAGGCGATCGGCAGACGGCCAGACAGACGGATTAACTCGTTTTAAAGGGATCCAATGGACGCCATGTTGCTGGAGCCCGTGGCCGGAGTGTTTGCGCCTCTCTGCTCCTGACGAACCGGTCTGTTTTCGTTCCGAAACGCGCCTACACTCGCGAAGCTTCGTAAATCCGCTCTGGCTGAACGCTCCATGCGTTCGAGCAGATACAAACAGGAGGGGGAAGTGGTTTTCGAGTTGCCTCGAACGGACGCGTCGATCCTTCTCTCTCGCGTTCGATCTTTTCGAAACTACCTGCAAATCGTTGAAAATTTCCCGCGATAAATAGGAATTCTAGATTGCTTTTCTTTGTCGCAAGAAAAGAGGAGAAGATCCAACGAGGGAAAATTGACACGACACCGAGATTCGGTAAATTCAAACGGATTACCTACGAGATGCGAATAAACGATTGTCATACGAAACGAATCGTGGCAACGAGGATTGATTACACGGCCGACAACTGCGTCATGAATTGTTAAAATCGTATCAATCACACGGACACGTACATTATCATCAGTGGTCCGACGGAGCCAATAAATCCTCGGTATGTAAATCGCCTCGGATCTCCCTTTCAAGGGTCATTCTGCAAGGGTTAAAGGTCGCAAGTGCCTCACACGCTTGTTCATGCGTACACTAACTCAAGAGCGGAGAATGCAGATCTCAGATTGCGTATCGTGAAAGTCCTGTTATTCCACATGGTAAACGTTGAGACTCGAGAAGTCGAAAATCTCGAGAAATCTTTCCCTCTCGTTCATACTCCCTCATCTATAAACGAAATCTCCGAATTTAACGAATCTTCAAGTATCCTAAAGTATTAGGATTATAATTAATTTTACGCTTAATTGATTTAACACCACAAGAAATAATTTATCGCAACGTTATAAATATTTAAACTAGAAACTTTCACGAAATTATAAAATGAAAGAATATTAACACATCGATTGTCTGGCAAAATTTATGCATCTTACTTATATTTGATTTTTATAAGACATTATGTTCATTTTTTGATGCCACTTTATTAACAACGAAAATGATCATAACACTGTGTGATTTCATAACCACAAGGAAAAATAGAATATTTGATAACTTGTGTCAATTTAAATAATTCGTGATTATTAAAAATGAGAGAACGTATACTTCTCAATCTGTCAATATTCCAAATTTAAAATCAACGATTAAAAAACGAAATTACAGCAATTCCTGATAAAATGAAAATAACAGAGCATCTACGAAATAGATTGAATCAATCTCTAATAATAATGAGACATCTTACATGCCTCTTTCAGAAAAATAAACCGTAAGGCAGGACATAAAACGAATTTACAAGAAGATTAAAAATCATTAGATCAATATGCCCAATTCCGTGTATGAACTCTAAACTGTTGGACTAAAAGTTAAAAATCGTTAACCTTGACAGAAACGTTCCACAGCGACTGGAAACGACAATCTTCATTTACTCTTCCCAGATATCCAGTTCACCGTTAAGTAGTTCAGGCATCCACCCCCAATGGACAGATCGTCGGGCAGCCTAATCCACGTCGATGGCGTCGATCCACGGTCACATCCCGACCATTGTTTACAAACATTCTACGTCACTAGGTATAAGTAAATAGAGCCGGCCAACCTAACGAAAAGGGACGAACCACCCTCCGTTCCTCCGAGATTTCCTGAGGGCCAGGTTCCCTTTGTCCGAGCGCCAGATGTTCTCGCGAATAAAACCGATAAAATATCGCAATGTGGCCTCGTCGGCGGCGAAGCGACGGAGGGACGAGGACAGCCGGTGCAAGGAACAGCGGGACGGAGGGTCGGGGATTAAACAGCACAAAGGGAGGCGAAAAAAGAGGAAGAGGGCCCCCGGTACAAAAAAAAAAAAAGAAAAAGAAAAAAAGAAAACAACGAAAACCGAAAAATCAGGATCCGTAGGGAGGCGTGCAATGACCGGGACCGGGACCGCGCGAGCATGAGCGCGTGCACACGTGATCTCGAACGCTATCTATCCGCCTCGAACTTTCTCCGTCGAAAGCCTGTTTCGTCGAAAATAAAAAGCCCTGAGAAACGATCGAAAGCGAATGGTGGCTTTTCGCTTCTCCTTTGCTTCTTCTCTCACTTCGCTTGCTTCGATACGTTTTCCATTTTATTCGTTTTATTCGTTTGAATTAGGTAATGATCAGGTCGCTCGGTCAACAGTAGACGAACAAGTTACTTTCGATCGAACGGATTGGGAGTCGTTTTCACTCGGTTTACGTGGCGTGCTTGGATAACTTTTGGTTGGATGATCGAATGGTTGGATTTTACAGATGAAAAACAATGTATTTGTAGAAGTTTCAATGATTTCTCGAAATGATTTAAAATATATAAATAAACGTTTGTGTATCTTTTACTCTAATATCTCTGATGGAAATTTTAGGCCTTGGTCGCCGTTAGTTCTAATATTAAGTCGTTCAATTAAATTATCTTGTCAACACGGTTTTCGGATTTTCATGTTCTCAGAAGAGTGATATTTATAATATGCCACTTCTTTTGTAATTTATCGTGATACGTTATTGAGTGTAACGATTCATGAAAACAATGGGTTGATTTTTGTAATATAAGTCGTCCCTTAAGGAATTAGTCGCAATCGCTAACGACATCTCGACAGAATCTCTTTGAGCGTTAATTATGATTGAGAAATAAAATACCATGCGACGTGGTGATGACATAAACTTTTTAATTAAACGATTTCAGGTCCGCCCGAAAGTTGCTGCGCCAGTTGAAAGCAAACCTTCAAGTAGTTCGAGTACAGAAACTCGAAGGGAACTTTACTTATTGTATTTTCAATTGTTGATTTTTGGATACTTTGATTGCAAGATACTCTTCTGCTTGATTGCTCTCTGTCTGGATCTTGCTAACGTATAGCGAGATGTTACCTGATGGATGGGGGCATCTAGCACAGAGATGTTCAAAAAGAGAGAGTTATATATTCTGGTCGGTTTGCTCCATAAAAAGCCACGGGCAATAAAACATTGGTACTTGTTCATTTGGAATTCGCGTAGCAAATCTCGTTGCTTTTATTCTGAGAACCCGTAACCGTTTGCGATTGGCTCGTAACACCCGGTGCAATGCAGCAGCTTCCTTTGCTTTGTGATTTCTTGATCATTCTCTCGAAGCTTCCATCGAAGTATGCGACTTCTTCAACGTACTCTAATCTTGTAATAGTTACAGTAAGAATGTCCTGTTCGAAGGATCTTAGAAACTTGATCGAAATGGGATAAAATCAATCTCTACTGAAAAAAAATCAACAATTGCAAGAATTCAATAATTACAAGAAATTTTACCAATTAATATATGGGTGAAAATAATATAAATATCAAAAATTATTATTACTATTATTGTTATTGTATTTAGTAAAATTATTATTCACATTACGAACGATACTATTCTGTATTTTTGCTGCTATTATAACTACGTATCATATATTCTATTACTGCGTTTTACCATTATTTCTTTACTATATATTTGTATCATTTGTTACAGCTTACAAAAATAATGTCAAAACATTCATGAAAATATCGTTTAATAAATTTGCAGATAAACTATAGATAGATTATATATTCTAGACTTAATAGATTGTTTGGACCATTTAATTTGTTTGTAGATGAATTATTTATTATTGTTCGGCAAGTTTACAGACAGACTGCTTCGACCATTGTACCATAACCGCGTTAATCAAACGCGTGTATTTCCAAAATTCCCTAAAAATACATGATGTTAGTGCAACCTCCCCGATAAAAATATAATCATCTCTTTACTATCTACCTTTCACAAAGCAAGGAATCTTCGAGCGAGAGTACACGCGCGTATAAAAGTATAAAAGTGTAAAAACTCACCCTTTTGCTGAAGGTAACCCGAAGAAATCGCAAAATCGACTAACCTCGTTTCCAAAAAAGTATCCAAAAACTGGCCGGGGGCTGATCGGACACACGCGACAGCCAATTTTCGGCTTCTCCGAAAATCCCCCAATTTTGCCATACGAAATCCAGGAAACGAAAAGCACCGAGGAAGATTATGGCAATTGGCGGACAGGCGGGTACCGCTTCCACCACGACGAAGCTAGAAACACGCGTGTGTTTCTGCGCAGTAGCCGAATGCAGCAAAGGTTCGTGACACCCGATGTGGATGCATTAAAGGGGCTCGTTAAAGGTCCGTCTCTCTGGTCGTTAAGCATTGTTTAGTCCGCTGCTGGACACGCAGAGGCCCGGTTCCTGAGACCAGTCCACCCGGTCGATCGGGCGGGAAGGCCGGATCCTTAGGCGAGCGAGACGGACGCACGAAAAAGGGGGGAAAAAATGAAATAGAAAGTGGTCTGTCCGGTGCATACGATGTACAGTGTGTGAACAGTCCGCGAGGCGCCTCCTTCTGGACCCTTCCTACCCCCGGCCTGTTCCTATTCACCACGTACTATAGCAAATTCGCGATGCTCTCTTCAAGCCTTCCACAGCATTGTGCTCGCATTTCTCGTGCGGTTGTCGGCTCGGAAAGTATCTTCTGGCTTAAGCTGTCGGTAAGTCGGCTGAGAAGTTCGCGTGCAATATTCCTGTTCCCTTCCTCGCTGCTTCTCGCTGTCGTCTCTCGCTGACAAATCGTAGTGCCATACGTTGCAAGTTTCTTCTGTTGAAGTTGTTCCATTTCACTTGGCATTTTTCTTTTCTTTTTTTTTTTTTTTTTTCTTTTTACACAGATGATTCTTGATTGGACGTATTATTGGGATGATATGTGTTTCCATTTTTCGATCAATTACGTAGAAGTTTGGTCCGTTGCAAAAGAGAATGTGCGTTGATAACGCCGAGAGAACGCCAAGACTTTCATATTCGTCGCTATCGACGCGCAATGGGTAACTAGTTGCTCGCAGCTCGAGAGACATTGAGCGACGTATTGTAGACGTTTCTTGTGCTCGCCGTTTCTTAGAAATTTTCCTTACTCTCGCGATCTAGTGGGAATTTATAAACATCGCGAGGCACGTACACGTGTACATATCGGCAGATTAGAAGCAGCAAATATCAGTCTGACATTTCCTAAGAAATATTCCGTAGTTATAAATTCCGTTTGATTGTAGTTTTAGTGATTCGGCAGTATCTCTTTCATTTTTATTTTCCGTAAGGTTTTAAACAAAATTTCGGATCTCGCAAAAAATTGAAGCAAACCATCTTCGGTCTTGGTAACAATGACAAATTTCCTGTCCCTTCTGGTGCTCACTCTGGCTTGCGTAATTGTCCACGCCCAACAAACATCTGATCAAAAACGTAAGTAAACGTTCCAATAGAAACATTTCCAAGAAACGAATATGACTGGCCGATAATGTATTTGCACATCGTGATTGCGCCGTGTAATCGTTAGTCACCGATGGCTAAGTTTCCATTCATTTTCCAAGAACGCCATGGAGTGTCACAATAATCAATTACAATCACTGTCCTTGATGTCATTCGCGATGTTTTATCATACGTAATTCGTCCGATTAATTTAGACTTTCTGTTTAGCTGTTTTCGGGCAAACGTTCGACGAAATTGTAGTCTCGTCGGATCTAAACGTTCGAAGGAAATCGAAAGAAAGCCGTCAGGGTAAAAGATTGACGAACATACCATCAGGAACCACCGGCCCACCAGAAAAATCCACCGTACTTGCGTCCAGATTCGTTTCCAATGACGGCAGTCGAATCACCTCGGAGAAAACCAAATCGAAACGCGACATTTCAAATTTACAGAAAAGGTAAGTGGGCATCGTGGTATTTCTTCCCTTTTTTTTTTTTTTTAACAAATCAATCGTCGAGTGTAAATGAACTTGCGCTTGTTTTCAGGTATCTGGACATGGGCGTTACAGGATACTTGCTGAACTCTCGGAAATGATGAAATTTCTATTCCGGGGACAACCGCACGATCCTCACACACCCATTCCGACCATACTTTTCGGACCACTTTCGGACCATGGCTCATGTAACAAAAAGGATAATAAAAATTTTCTGTGTCACAGCAATACTCGACGTTCTTATTCCCACCTATTTCGCTCTGTTCCTCATTTCAATTTAAACAACATTATTTAGTCTCTCCAATTAATTAAATAACAGTCTAATTAATTTAAATCAGTTGGACAGAACTAAAGGTTTGTTGGTTAATTGAAAGTCAATCGTAGAAATCAAGCTTCCGAGAAAATTCAACGACTCGATTTGAGAGAAGAGCAAGGAGAGCGCACGATCGAAAGAATGTGGTCTCGTGTCGCAACTCCCGCAACTTGCAAACGAAATCGGAAACGTAATCACTGAAAGGCGGTCAACTGCTAGCGTTCCTACGATCGGAAAGAACGAAAGGCGAAAAGCGAAAGTCGCTGAAAGATCGTACGGACGATTTCCTTGACGCGCGAGCTGGAAAAGGTGGCGGTGCGCCGGTCGTTTAAACTTTCAAATCGGCGTTGGACGTGTCGCGTCGTTTCGAATGCACCTTGCCGCGCGACTTCATGTTCGCAATACGTCCGCCGAGACGTTGCGGCGAATTGTCAAGCATTCCGTGTACGTACCGCGGGCTGGAAAAATCGGCTGGGACTGAAATATGGCAGGCCGTGCTCAAAAGGCAGCCGCCATCGCGATCTTCATGCGATGATGCGCCGCGCGGATCTACCGCGCCGCGAGTCACGTGACACGGCCCGTGGCACGTGACACGCACTTCCAAAATCTTTAGGGACTCGCTATCGGCTCTCTCCTTTATTCCTCTTTCTCCCTCTCTCCCCCCTTTCTCTCTTTTTTTGTACGTTTCTCCTTGTACTTTCTCGAGCGAAATCGTGGAATATCTCACGATTCTTTGTTTTTTCAACCCTCAACCCTTTTATCCACTTGGTGTTTCCGTTGCAAGACAAGCGCCATTTTGTCTTGAATTTCTGGAGACTATAGTGCGAGGGATTCGAATTATGCAAGTTTATATTTTTAAAAATGTAATTGAAAATACAGAACTTTGATAGAAAATTGGAGAATTATATGAAGGAGAGTAGTTTTATGCTTTCTTTCTGAAAAAGCAAATATTGTAATATTTCTTTAATCTTCTCCTTCTCGTTCTAGTAATAAAACAAATATGTGTTCTAATTCTTTTGAAATAATTTCTTCTTTTGACAGCATACAGACTCTTCTATCACTGGACTCAGCTTTATCAGCTTTATCGATTTTTCATACTGAAAATTTTGTCACTTATGTTATTGAATCCCATAATTATTAATATCTTTTAAATTTACTCAATCTCTTGTTTAATGTTCAGTCTATACTAGAGTACTGTATAATAATCTTATACCAGAGTACTCAAAAAATATAATATATTGAACAAATGGATCAAAAGACATACGGTGTACGAAACTATTAAATCTCAGTATTAAACTTTTAAATTTCTGGTAATTTCGAGCACCAAAAGAGTTGAACAATGTAGAAAAGATTGAAGCTTCGTTAGAAATACTATCATTAAGAATTACCTACACAATTATTCAAATGATAAGAAATCTTTGAAACGATAACCAATGGATATTCGCTTGGCAGTTCATAAAAAATAACCAGACCGGTGCGGCGTCGTCAAATAAGAAATTTTACTCATGCAAGGGGAAGAATCTTGTATTCTATGCGTTATGCACGCCTAGTACTATATATCTTATGGTGAATCCGTGGATGGACTTATAGGTAAGCTGACGTAACTAAGTGTTCATCATACTTTTGATTTGATGTTGTTGCCATTATCAACGTCCTGGCAGACGTTGATTTAATGCCTGAAGTTCAAACGATCGCCTGGCTGGCGCCTCCAGCAAGCTGGTAAACAAGCACTTCGTCCTAGAAACTTAATATATAACGTTATTATTAACTTCGTTGACATCGTAAATATCCGTCAAATTACTATTCATTAGATCTTTAAATAAATCTTTGTTTCCAACATCGAGAAACGTCCAATTGTAAATTCAAAATTAACTTTGGCGCCAGAACTATAGTATTGATGGCTGAGATATAGAATTTAAATACCAGGCGAAAACGAATATAAAAAATGTTTTAATTTCTCGAATTTTCTAAGCCTAAGAATATTCGAAATTTAATAAAACATTAAGGTCTTCAGGGATCAGTATGAAGTATCCTAAAACTTTTTCATGGAAAATATACATGTTATTATAAATCTATAAAATTTCTGTGATGAACTACAAGTATTAGTTCTGACTACTAATTAGTTAGTCTCCAAAATATAAATAATATTGTTCTCAAAAAATGATACTGAATTAAATAATACGAAACTAATTAAAGGTACTAAAGCTTCAGATATGGCATAAATATGGAAAATGAAACATAGGGAAAGTTAAATTGGTTTGGTATGAAAAATACAAAAAAAAAAAAAGAAAAAAATATCAAATTTTTCATTTACTGCCAAAAAAGAATTGAACAAGTTCTCTATTTAAAACTGATGTTCTTATTTTCAAAAAGTCTTCTTTATCTCTCTTCAGTGGAATCTATAATAATATAAAAACGTTTTCTAAAAAAAAGTCTTAAACTTCCATTTTACAACTTTCCCTCATTTAAAATTCATTTGTTTATAATTTTTCCACTGTTTTCCATTTTACCAATAATGTTACTGACTAATGATTAGCTTTAGCATCACTGGACTTAGTATCTCTTCGCACGATTGTGTTCGGTCGTAAACTTACTGTCAAGAGTGGCAGTTTCACGAGCAACTTTTAACATTTTATCTGCGATCAGAGGACGGAAGTGTCGTTTGCATCGAGTGAACACCGATTCCACTGATCGATTTTCATTGAATAATATCAACGTTTGAGAACAAACAGGTGCGACCGAGACAGATCTTGTTTCCCATCGGGATGCAGAATCCGTATTCGTCGTTGTGAATACTCGTGGGCGTTTATATCGACTATACACCTGCGACTATTTTATGTCTTCCCTGAAAAGGCTGGACGATAAATTCTGTCCGGTCCGTCGATCCTCTGACTGCTGATCAGAAAGATCAGTGGCCAAGCGGTAAGGTAGGGGGAAGCTTGATTATTCATCTTTCTATACCTGTGTTCGTACGAAAAGTGACGAAGTAACCGATCATTTCGAAAAACTCCCTCTTCGAGCGATATATTTTGAATTTCTAGGCTTCGTGATAGTGAAGCTGTATTTATTCGTACTCATCGCTCGTATAATTGAAGTTCTTACAATAGAAGATCATCGACTGTTTAACGACAGATAAAGGTCGATTAGAAATGAAATAAATTTGATTTCTGAAAAATAAAAAGGGGCGTGTTTGAATTTGATGCTGATATACAGGGTATTTATTTAATAAGAATTGGTATCTTTGATTTGTCTTTTGAAATGTATAAAAAGAAAAAATATTGTTAACGAAAGTTATTCAGGGGAAATTGTAATTTCACGTATATTTTTCTTCAATGGAGCAAAAGAATATTCGAGCATTACAGGTGTATTTGTTATATCATAGAAGAACTAATTAAATCACGAAGAAATTCATTCGAAAGTAAATGATCATGTTTGTGAGTCTAGCTTCTGACCGCTAGAACGTGTTACTATTGACATAAAATTTCAATATATAATTTCGAGAAGATGAAATAAATTAATTTAACAAACTCGACACTCTTCATTCGTAGGAACTTTAAAACACGAAGTCACGTGAAACGAGCGTACTATGAAAAAGTATCTCATCTTAACATTCAATTTTCTATCAAAATTCGCATTCTTTGCGTGAAAATTTCAAAACTAGTTTACACAACAGGTCTACAATCTATTTCTCTATTTACCCTATATCGGCATTCGTTCAGTAGACATCAGATCAGTTAACCAGACCCTAAACTGCCATTTAACTTCAAGAAACGTAGTGCCGCTGTAATCAGAGTCAAAGACTCTGCAACGGAGGTCCAGAAATAGCTCGTCCCTTGCGAGAATTAGAACTCGAAGACAGACGTTCGTCCTTTCTATGGAGCAGCCAAGTAAACCGTGCGTCGTTCATTATTCATTCAACGGATCGGTGATCGCATCCACGCCACGTCGACGAACAGGATACGCGGTGCGCACCACGCTCGGTGACGCGATGGCAAAACACCTGTCGCGGCCGTTTTATTCTGGAGAACTTGCAAAATGAACGCGATCCATTGGCTGAGATGTAACGCGGGTCTCTCGAACCGCCGTCCAGCCACTTGGCTGCTTGCTCTCCGTGATTCGTGTTCAAATGGGAGTTGTCGCACGCGCGCGCGGATCTATCGGGAGTCGTTGTACCTTCGCGCGAACGGTTCGACAAAAGGAAAACGGGAAGAGAAGTTTACGACGAAAAAAAGGGAAAACGAGGAAAAAGAAGCGATACCGCACCGGAAGTGGCAGGCGCAAAGTGTACATGCTGAAATCGATGGAGAACGAGCAGCCGATCGGCAGATATTTCCGTCGCGTTGCGTTTTTTTGCGCGGTTTCGCCATTTTTACGGTGAACGCCGCATCCGTCGGGCGCAGCCGTGAGGTGTAAAATTATCTGCTCGGTCTCGGAATCATTCCGAGAAGGCATCTTGAATTAAACATCGCTATCCACGTGCCTCACTGTCTCTCACCCCCTCCAGCGACGATCTCTATTGAATCGTAGATCATCCGCCGGACCCGGCCGCGAATTAGAGAATCAGTAAAGAAGCTCGTACGTGCCACCGATGGCAAGCGACCATCTAATTTCTTCCTGGTAACCGTTCGCGTGTTCGAGGCGCGCCGTTTCTTCGAACGAGAAATCAGATTTGTCGAATACTTGGCTTCCTTTCTTCCCTTTCCTGTCCATGAAGTTCCACCTGGTTTTTGTCGCAAGTTTCGACGTTCGAAACTTTAGAAATGTTAAAAATGCTGGAAAGTTTTCCGAAAGGTGTGAAAGAGTTTCAGTCGCAGTGCAAATGCAGCAAGCTCTCCGTTTTGGAGAATTTTTTCATCAATTTTTTGAAGTGAATTTTATATCGTACATAGCGATTTATCTATCGTTTCTCGTACAG